TATTCTCCAATATTCTATTCTATTCTCCAATATTCTATTCTATTCTCCAATATTCTATTCTATTCTCCAATATTCTATTCTATTCTCCAATATTTATTCTATTCTATTCCATCTCCAATTATATTATATTCTATTCTACTCTATTCCATCTCCTATTCTCTTCTTTTCTCCAACATTTTCTTCTATTCCTATTCGATTCGATTCCATTCCATTCTAAATCTTGAAGGATTCGTTGGGCGAATGGAAGCTGGCAGGCTAGGGAGAAAGGGAGATTATCCAGCCTGAGAGGACCTCCTCTTCCCTTTAACTCTCTTCCAAAAAAAAAAACCCTCAACGGAAAGGAAGGCTCATCCCACCCGCCTCATAGTCAAAATTTGTAAGAAGCCGGGGAGAAGCGGACTTACTGGGGTAAGATCTGGTACAGGAGGGCCTCCGCTTTGCGCTTCTCCTCCAGGTAGGCCTGGGTCCGTTCCTCCACCAGCTCTTCCAAATTGTTGGCGTACTGCTCCATCCGCGACAGCAGCGTATCCAAGAGGTTAGAGCTGCTTTCCCTGCCATCGAACATTCAGAGGCTGAAGCCAAGCCAAGTTTCTAGTCCTCTCTGTCCCAGGTCTGGGAATTGAGCCAACTCTCGCCTCACCGGGTCTCCTCAGATGACCCTCTTGGTCTTCAAAACCCGCCAGGAAATCCCGCCCAGCCCGTCCTGTCCCCTCTCCCACGTCGCGCTCTACCTGTTGAACTTCCGCAGCATTCCTTTGATGTGTTGAAAATCGGGGCGCTCTTGCAGGTCCTCAGCCCAGCACCTCTGCATCAGATGGACCACCTCCTCCAAATTGGAAGGCAGATTCGTCGAGGGGCGGAAGGGAGGCTGTTCCCCGCTCATGACACGCTTGATAATCTCTGCAAAGGGCCAAAGAATGGGAGGGCGGGGAAATGGAGGGCATTAGGAGATGCCTGGGTGGGGCCACAGGGTGGAGAAAAAGGATGCAGGGACATTGTCCCACATTTTAGGGAAAAAATTGCACAGGTTTTGCCCACCATTCCAAAGCAGATGTTGCATCCCGTGAAAAACGAGGACAGATTTCATGGATAAATTTTAGATTTTCCGCGAGAACGAGGATAAAACGAGGACAGATTACATGGACAAATGTTAGATTTTCCGTGAGAAACGAGGAGAAAAATTAGGACAGATTACATGGACAAATTTTAGATTTTCCACGAGATATTAGGATAAAACAAGAACAGATTGCATGGACAAATTTTAGATTTTCCGCGAGAAACGAGGAGAAAAACCAGGACAGATTACCTGGACAAATTTTAGATTTTCCGCGCGAAACGAGGAGAAAAACCAGGACAGATTTACCTGGACAAATTTTAGATTTTCCGCGAGAAACGAGGAGAAAAACCAGGACAGATTTACCTGGACAAATTTTAGATTTTCCGCGAGAAAC